TATTTAATTTAATTTCTTATTTAGATATTTCATTAATTAATTATCTTAATTGGTTATGTATATTATGAATTTAAAATTAATTACTTTATTTAATTATTTATTTAATCACTTATTTAAATAAAAGAATTAATATTTATTTTAATTCTTATTTAAATATTTCATTAATTAATTATCTTAATTAATTATTTATATTCTTTATTTAATATTTAATTACTTTATTTAGTTATTTATTTAATCACTTAATTAAATAAAAAATAATATTTAATTTACTTTTTTATTTAGATATTTCAGTAATTAATCCTCTTAATTGGTTATGTCTATTATTAGTAATTAATATTTAATTAATTTATTTTAGTTACTTATTTAAAGAGTAAATTTAACCAATAATCACTGAAATTTACACTTGGTTACTACTTGCTTACTCATTTTTCACAAGTTACTGAATGCTCACTCATCTTTTCATATAATTACTCATTCACCACTCGTCTCTTCAATTAATTGGGCGACTTTTGCTGCAATTTTTCGACAACTTCTGACCACAAAGAATGTCGAATTTTGATACCATTGGAAAGCCCACGATGTCCTCTTCAATTACCACCCAAAATCTCATTAAGGCAATTTTTCGACAACTTTCGACCATCAAAACTATCAAATTTTGATATCATTGGAAAGCCCACAATGTCTTCTTCAATTACCATACAAAATTTTCCCATAACTCCAAAGGATTCGGTCGGAATAAACCCACAAAGTCAGCATCTCGAAAAGGCGAAAATCTGAACAAAGTTCGGGATGTTGACTTTGTGAGTTTATTCCGACCGAATCCTTTGGAGTTATGGGGAAATTTTGGGTGGTAATTGAAGAGGACATTGTGAGCTTTCCAATGGTATCAAACTTCAATAGTTTTGATGGTTGAAAGTTGCCGAAAAATTGCCTTAAAAGTCACCCAAAAAATTCGAAAATCTGGGCAGATTTTCGGAATTTTTGGGCGATTTTGAGACAATTTTCCGATCAAATTCCTTGGAGTTATAATGAGATTTTGGGTGGTAATTGAAGAGGACATTGTGAGCTTTCCAATGGTATCAAACTTCAATAGTTTTGATGGTTGAAAGTTGCCGAAAAATTGCCTTAAAAGTCACCCAAAAAATTCGAAAATCTGGGCAGATTTTCGGAATTTTTGGGCGATTTTGAGACAATTTTCCGATCAAATTCCTTGGAGTTATAATGAGATTTTGGGTGGTAATTGAAGAGGATATCGTGGGCTTTCCAACGGTATCAAAATTCGACATTCTTTGTGATTGGAAGTTGTTGAAAAGTTGCCGTAAAAGTCGCCCAATTATTTGAAGAGACGAGTGGTGAATGAGTAATTATATGAAAAGATGAGTGAGCATTCAGTAACGCGTGAAAAATGAGTGAGCAAGTAGTAACCAAGTGTAAAGTTCAGTAATTATTGATTAAATTTACTCCTTATTTAAATAAAAATATTATATCATAATGTACAAGAAGCATAACATTATTGGAGATTTGAAAAATAGTTTTTTCGGTCCTCCACTCATGAAATTTCACATGTACATTATGGACATCCTTATGAATTAGTACATGTACAATTATCCAATATTTAATTTGATTTCTCGTTTAAATATTTTTTTTATTAATTACCTTAATTGGTTATATATATTTAATTACTTTATTTAATTATTTATTTTAAACACTTACTCAAATAAAAAATTAACATTTAATTTAATTTCTTCTTTAAATATTTCATTAATTAATTATTTTAATTTGTTATGTATATTATTTATTTAATATTTCATTACTTTATTTAATCACTTATTCGAATAGAAAATTAATATTTAATTTAATTTATCCTTTAAATATCTCATTAATTAATTACCTTGATTGGTTATGTATATTATTTATTTAATATTTAGTTAGAACATAAATCACACGTTGTATGATAATATCTAACAGAAATAGGATTCGAACTTTAGGCATGGTCACATTTTCAGTACATTGAACATTATTCAAGAATGCCGAAAATATATTTCCTCTACTAAATGAAGTCGAGTGAGAAGTTCTCGATTATAGTATGTTACTCTCTACCTAACGGATGTGTAATATCTATTTAAATCCTATGTACTCTCTATTTATAGCGTGTTACTGACTTCCTTAATTTTCTTTATTTATAGTGTGTTATATATGTAATTAAGAGTAATTGATTATTTATTATACAATTACATAAAAATTAAAGTATTACAAACATTTTTAAAAAATGCTTACATTTGAAATTATTATAATTACGGATCACAATGTAAATAAAAGAACGCTTGCATTTTAATGTGTGTTTAGTTTATCAACTCTACGCCACATTCGATACTAAAAATTCAATGTACTTCAATTAAGGCTGTCAACTAGATACACCATTAGAAGAACTAGAACTAGGTACAAACTTTCATTTTGGATGAAAAAATTGTTCCATAATTTACAAAATGCCCTAATTAATTTTTCAATTAAATAGACAATATATATTAACAAAATGTCAATATTCAATTTACAATTAAAGTTAATTAAACAAGCATTATTATATTAACCAAATTGAAATTATTTATGTGCTTATATCAATTTTATGTGCTTGTATAATTTCACTTTTTCGCAATTGATTTTTTGTTAACGAAAAGTGGAACCTTTTATTAATTAAATAAGTTTTCTCGAAAAAATTCCTTATGACACTAAAGCCAATTTTCCTACAAATTCATCTACCATTAATTGACCTAACTTTCAAATCAATTGATTAGAGGGAAAAAAGAAACAGAAAAAGAAAATCAAGGAGAGCAACAATTCACTAGTTAAAATGTTTCAACTTTCATTAAATCAATAAAATTAAACATATATTATTTTGTTAGATTATGTGCTAAAAATTAATAAGTGCAATGATGGTAAAGTGGTCAATATGTTTAAGAAAGGTAGCTTGTTTGAATCACTTTCCTTGCATTGTTTTGGTGAAAATTGTTTAAATACAAAAATTATAAAAAATATTGCTCTTGAAGAGTTTCGAACACAAAACCTCCAATTAAATAATAGAAGGGCTAACCAACTGAGTTACCAAAAATGTTTGTTGTTAATATGATTTATCATATATATAATCTAAAAAGTCTATCCATTATCAGCTAAAAAAAACAAAAAAATAAAAAATAAATTCTCTTCGACGAATCCAGCTAGGGCGACCGTCCTAGTTTGCCGCCCATTAAATTCACCCCTGCCTACACTACCACCACACAATCACCACGTACAACCACTCAACCCTAACTTGTGCCATGTGAAGAAATATGTGAGGGATCTGGAGAATAAAAATATTTTAGAGAGATGACTTGTATGCTTCTACAATCTGTTGAAAAATTGAAGAATTGTAGAGAGAGAAATGATAGGGAGAGAAAGTGTGAGGGAGAGAGATTTTATATTTGGGAGAGAGAATTATCCAGGTAGTAGAGGTGGGATAGTGGGTTGGGTGGGGGGTGGAGTGGAGTGGGGCAAAGGTGATAACCGTAGCTATATAATATGTAGAGCGATGCTATACATACAGGTAAATGGTTCACAGATTTTGTACAAATAAGACACTAGGGTGGGGTGAGTGGTTTATTTTTGAGGAAAAAAATCAGCCCTATGTGTGTGGTCTATATAGATCTTGTAGAACAATTCTTGTAGACAGGGAATTGCTCTAATATGTATGTGTAAATTTGGACCTGATTATTGCCAAAATAATAATAATAATAATAATAAATCTATTAAAATTTGATTTTTGAAATTGAAATTTTAGAGGAAGGGTTTGAAGTAATTTTCCTGTATTATATATTTTCATTGGCCCATTTAGTGTTAATTTGATGTGAATTGGGTATTATAATATTCATTGTAATTTTAATAGTATACACATATAAATATATGATTTTTGTATTTAATTATATTATTTTCAATCCAATCCAACCCACTATTTCTTTATTCATTTAATTTATATTTCTCTTTACTATATTTTTCACATTTAAAAGAATAAAATTTATTTTTAACCCCAATTCGATCATTTGACCATCGACCCTCCCTCCTTTTCGTGTCATTGTTCGGGTCGATTTTCATAACATTAGTGATAACTCAATGAAATGAAATCTCTTATTGCAATTTCAGATGCATCAGTACATGTGCCAAAAGCAAACCACCAAAGTAAAAATAACTAGCTGTATTAGCTCTTTCTCAATGCTTATGTGCCTATTGTTACATGACAAATATTTATCCTTTCTACTCTATTTTTTTCTCTACTTTAGATAAATACATCAAAAAAATAAAGCTGGTTTCGTAAAAGCGTTCCATTATATAGGAATCTAATAAAGCTATTTCTAGCTATAATACAAAATTCTCAATCATGTGTTGTATTACATCGGCTCCAGCAGAATTTATGCAGTACGTTTTCACCTAAACATAAGGCAAGAAAATGTCATTTTCCTAAAGCTGATGAACTCTGAACAGGTGTTAAGGCAAAACAATGCTGAAAAATTGAGTTTTGAAGAAAGTCATTGCAGCAGCCTTCCAACTCATTAAGATCTGCTGTCATTAGTTTACACATGTTGAGGGTTAAGATTCACCATGTTCACAAAACTAGATGTGTGTTTACTTTGAAATAAATAGAATTTTCTCCAAATATCGATGCTTATAAAATTCATACTGGTATCCCACCCTAAAGTATAATCCTGGCTCCAGACCCATCTGCTGAGGTTGCTCAATGCAATTTTAAATGTCGCCAATTGTCATGCTATGAATAAGGATGGTTTCTGATGTAGGAATCTTATATATTTATACCAGAATGACTTAAAAAAGGGTGCGAAGATAGTTATTTCTCGTTTTTAATAGTTCAAATTACACAAATCTATTGAGGGAGGATATAATGGTCTTAAGAGGTCAAAGAAACTATCTACGGATTACAGATCTACTGAGACAAAAAATACACATACCTGAATTGTGTTATGTGCAAGAAATCTTTGTATACTTCCACCGAAGTTGACATCAATCCGGTCCCAGCTCAATCTCGTCAAACTTCTCATCATTTCCTCTACAAGTGCAAACAATATTGAATCTCAACAATCTAGAGCTCCAAAAATAGTATAACTATGAAGAACAGTTGGATGTCAATAATCTGAGCACCTTGAATCATAAAGATGGATAGTGTACATAACACTACAGACATCTTCAATTATAGTTAGTGCACATTCAAGGAAAAAAGCAAAACAATAACACAATATCAGTAAAACCAACTTGTTTTATTGGTGAAACATATAAATGTAGAGCAATCAACTGTCTTCACATGTTTTCTGCATCAGTTCATGACCAAGTGTAAGATTTTACAGCCACTGAAAAGCTAAATGGGAAAACCTTCCTCATTACAAATTGAAATTACCAGATTATCATAACTATTCCATGACTGCAGATACAAAGAGAGGTGTGAGTACGACTTCAACAGAAGCAAAGACGTAATATTTATCCATTTAATTATTATTTTCAAAGAAAATAAATGTCTGATTTAGTCTGAAATGCCTTAAATAAAATCCATTTACAGAATATAAGTACATAGTTACCAGAACAATGGCGAAACACCTTAAGATTCACTACTGAAGAAGACAATAATTCTTAATTTAGTGGATTGAAGAATTAACAAACCTTCCATTTCACTTGTCTTGCCTCTAGCAATTTTGGCTTCCAAATGAACTTCTTGAGGTTTGTCAGTTTCTGAAACGACTTCATTGAAAATGTGTGGGTATTTAGCATGTTTTTGAAGATTTCGTCTCTGAAAAAAAAAATATATAAGATGACCGGTGCATATATGTTCAACCGTATAATCGCTAAATTTTACCTTTGGGAGCTCATTCCTTCTACGCAGTGACGATGAACTCCACCCAACAAGATCTACATAATATGTCAAGATCTTCATAGCATAGAAAAAGATAGAGCAAGAATAAACTATCACTAGTATTTCAGATAGTCATAAACCGATCTACACCTTCATGCCTTATCCCATAGCTCATCAATCTTTCCCATAACCCAAAGCTGAATTTGAGTACAAGACACTCATTAAATTCAGCCAAAACAAATGAAGAGATAGTAAAATAGAATTAGGATACGGTCAAAACGTGCATTTGCATAGGCCACACGACGCTTGAATGAGTGCAAAGAGGATCTGCAAAAGAATCCAGAATTCAAAATATTTCATCAGTTAAATTTTCATTAGTTAAAAGATCAAAGATGTAATGAATTCATGATAACGTACATAAATTTAAGATCTTCAGTGTCATTGACCATTTGAAGCAGAAGAGGAGGTTTTCCATCATCGCTATCAGTCAAGAATAGATGTTTCCCAGTTCTTCCAAGCAACCAAGATGCACGTGATGCTACTTTCTCCATGCTGTAAAGCCCACAGAACACCGGTACCTGCAAGACTATCAATTTGTAAAATCAAAAGAACATTGAATGCAAGACTGTGTTGGTTATATTGGGATAATTGAGCAGCTGATGATTGCATTTGTCATAACATTTTCAGTGGAAAGTCACACAAGATGAAATAAAAAATTTCTATTTTTAAGTGAAAAAAGTAAAAAATAGGATCATCAAGTCCCATGATGAGAAAATTAAAAAAACTGGAATGGTAGAACGCTTGAGCATGTATTAACAAGAGCAGACAAAATATTTAAGGTTTCGTTACACATATCCCAGTCAGACCTATCAGAAAAGTAGCACGCCAGTGGCCTGTGTCCATCCATAATATAATGAAAGAAGAGAGATGACTGCTCAAATCCTAAGCAGATGGAAAAAAAAAAAATTATACAAGTAAAAGCATATTTCCTTAGCATTTTTCTTCATACTAGATTATAAGAATAAGAATAAGAATATGCACCTCAATATTAGACCTTATACACAATATTAAGAGACCCTTTGGAGAACAATGAGTAAACACTATGCTTATGTCTGTATCCTGCCAACTTCCTTGAACAGCTTATCACTAAGACCATAATCAGACATTTTAAAGATCAGAAGCCATAACAAAAATGGGAAACATATCTTCAATCTGGCTATGGATTATTTAGTAATCATTAATAAATATGCATTATCTTAGGAACTAAAGAGAACTTTTTTCCCATATCAAAGCAAAGCACCATCAATAGAGAAAGAGAATGCATGTAACGAATTCAATAACCTGTTTATGTCCCCTTGATCCAAGGTGTGGAGTTGCAAAGGTAATGAAGTTCACAGGTTCAAGTCCAGCAATTTTGTCTTTTGATTTCTCTTCTGCGAATGATCTGTTAGACTCCCTTTCACATTCACCATTTTCTTTGCCAGGTTTTCCCGATAGATCTTGTTGGTAAAGCCTAGCAATTGCATATCTTGCGATTAGGCCACCAAGTGAGTGGCCTACAAAAGAAATCTTTTGAAGATTTGGATAGTGAGCTACAACAGATATCACCTGAAGTGCCAAAAAGGGAAAACTCCTTAATCTCCACCTTACAGAAGCATTTGATTCAATTAGTAGTCAAAATTGAATGTGAATTAGGAGAACAGTTAGTCCAACAGAATGCAGGGAGGTGAGAGAATAACCGGTTATTATTTTTGGAAAAGGAATTACAAACCTCATCTGCTAATCTAGTTCCCATTACATCAACACCATCAAATGTCAACATTGAAGAATTAGATTCGCTGCCTGGACATAGCAAATTGATTAAAAATAATTCACTCTAACATTTGCAGACATTTACTTCAGTTAGTATAAATGTATAAATAATTTATAAGCTTCAACTATTGCAATGAAAATTTGAAGAAAGTGTAATACATATGTTGCAGAAAGATATTGCAATTAAAATTCTATTAAAGACAGGACCTTGAGATAATAAAGTCATTTATGTATTTGCATCCGGAATTGAAACCAGCAAGTTAAATCAAATTTGTGTTCTGCTTTAATTTTCATTGCGCTTATTGCTTGCAGTGCTTTAGATAATACAATTACAACTGCACGAAGATGTCAGTTTTCATGTTTACAATTTGTAGAGAACAGAAATGAAGAAATTATTGGACTCAGTTTTTAATACATTTTCATACAATGATAGGTAGATCAAGACAATTAAAAAACATTTCAGGAACACAGAGAAGCTTTATACAGGAAGATATCTCAGAAACTTGTTTTGGATGTGAAAGTAAGGTGTTTAGTCTTCTTTTGAGTTTCTTTTTGAAATCTATTCATGCATATTTGACAAGAAACCACTGACAGTTTTCCTTCTCATTAATGAAACACTTGCTGTAATTACAATCGTGATCATGTATTCATATTGAATGAACATATTCGAAGAAGCTTACGAATACCAATTGTACCAAAAACCAATTCCTTAGTTTCTCAGAATATGAAAAGACTTCAGATGAGATATTTAGAGATTTCATTAATGCTAATAGGTTGTTTCAATAGCAATAGAATCTGATCTGAATTCCGCCTCAACAATATAGCTGACGTAGACATCCTCGACACACCCAGTTCAAGCCACCTAACTATTCAGCGTAGGTCCAGGCAACATCGGACTTCCAAAGGTGATCCTATTAACCTAAAATTGATTAACCAAGCCTGATGCGTGGGACAATAGACATAAGAGCCCCAAGCTTCAGAAGTCCTGACAACTAGCCCCAAATGGCAGAGAATCTCATGCGCAAGGATTTTATCAAAGATAGAGTCTTGCTCACATAGAAACTTTTACACTCGCATGATCGTGATTGAATACAACTCCAACTGGCTTAAGGTAACATCTGTCTCAGCCACGGGATAATGATCAACCCATATACAATTCAGCTATGCAGTCCACATAGTCCATCGGATATATACTACAATTTACTCCATCGGACATGACACGAAAGTATGGGATATGTGTCAAATCCTTCAAGTTTCAATAGGACACTTCACTATTTTTGTTTCTTCTTCTTCTTCTTCTTTTTTCCCCCCGTTTCCTTTTCTTTCTCATTCTTGCTCTCCAAAAGCCTAGTGCTACCTCCGAGAGGGTGAAGAAAGGCAAAAATGCTAGATTTCCTCTTCTTCTTTTTCTTTCTTTCCTTTTTCTTTTCCTTTTCTTCTCTTTTTTTTCCCTTCTTTCTCTCTTTGTACAAGTGGTTTAGGGTTTTGTTTGTATAAAATGAAAATGAGTCCCATATAGTACTACTTGGTGTTCCACTAAGTACAAATTGCAATCAAGTCCCTCATTCTCTATTTTATATAACATTTAGTGCATGTTTGATTTCAGTTAAAATCTGATTTTAATTTAAGTCAAAGTCAAACAATCAATATTAACTACATCTTTCATTGGACCACAACTTTTCAACCACACATTTCAAAAAACTTCTATCATAATCTACTAAAAATTCTAATTTTAATCCCCACCAAACATCCTTTTAGTAATTAACTCCCCATAATTGAAAACAAAATCCTAAAATTCTATTCATTTTAACCCCTTATTCAATACTCATTTCATTCTTTCTGAACAATTGATTTTAGTATATTTAAAATGACATCTTGGGTTAGTAAAAAAATTGAAGCTTGACCCCTTAATTCAATACTCATTTCCATCATTTTCCAGCAAGGGCTCTGCAATCAGGTGTTCGTGCAGTGTGTGCTAACTTTTTACTGTTTCAAACAATGAAAGTTAAATTCAAAGTTGCGAGATTGTTTCAAGCCCTTCATCTTAGTGGCTTAAACTAAACAATAGGATTTTACTGTGCAGACCTACCAAGAATTTTTGTAGTTCTACACTCATGTTAAAATAAACAAATGATTGTTTACACCACTTTCTTCCGTCATTCACCCAATGTGGCATACCAAGCCGCATGATTTTCCTCCATCCCTGTAGTGTCAGTGAACCTATCACTGCCTCAGTTGTGCAACCAGAAGAAGCTCTAAGGGAGAAGAAATATAAAGGTGAACTCATAGTAGGCCCCTTTTACTCTTGATAAACTGAAAATTATGCTCAATCAGTGAAGTTGTTCCAATCCTAATCATTTTCATATTGCTCTATGCATGTTGGATAAAAACTTCAATGCATAGAATGATATTTTGATGAGGTATGTAGTCAGCAGGGATACCAAGTGGGAAATGGCTGGCTTTTATAAATAATAGCAACAGAACATTAAAGCATATAGGTAACTAATCTTAATTTAAAATGCCATCTTATTTCAACAATACTTTCTTGGCCGAAAATGAAGTATGATTTGGATTTTCAAATAGAGTATTCACAGAAGGCTGCACTCTTTATGCTACAGGAATCGATTTGCAGTAACAATAAACTCAAATATAATTCGAAAAAAAAAAGAGAGAGGACAAAATGGAGAAGATAGAGCTCACAATGTACAACTACATCACTGGGATACGCCTTGACAAATTGTTTGGCGGCATATCTCCAATTTTGAGCACTGCACACATATAAGTTAAAATAATAATTAGTAAATTATAATTACATGAAAAAATTGTTAAATACTCCAAAAATCAGAATTTTCATCATTTCAAAATCCAGCTTCAGGCATTATTACAATCAGTAACATAAATTAACCTGCCAATGATTCCATTGACCATAACAATCAGGTGATTCTTCTGATTACAACCGGCTTCGACGTCAAAACCTCCGTCACTGTCGGGTTTCTCCGACACCGCTGGAAACTCGTCATTCAGTTTCATACAACCCAAATTGGGAATAAAATGAAACTTGCTTTTCTTCTTCTTCGTCGTTATATTCTTCACATTCTTTATTCCTAGCTTGTTTACATTCAAATCAATCTCTGCTTTTTTATTTTCCTCTTCTCTGACAGTTTCTGTACTAGCCTCCATCTCCAATGAACCCATAATGAATTTCGTAATATTTTTCCCCCTTTTCTCTCTCTATATATAAAATCATAAAGTAATCCAGTCAAGGTTATGAATTTGGTGGAGAAAAAGAAAATATTTGTCAAAGAAATGGGACGGACAACGGTGACTTAAAAAACGACCTTAATTATTTCTAGAAGTAGATTAATCAAGTATTTTTAAGAATGCTGGTTTATCTTTTACAACAAAAGAGATAATAGCGTAAGAATGACTTGTACGAGCATCTTCAATGATAATATAAAATTAAGTGTAAATTAGAGCTTGTTTGAGCCACATTATAATGAGAATGAGAATGAGAAATAGAGCCGTTATGGGTCTCACACCAGAGATAGAAATTCAAAAATGGTGATTTGATGTGATGAATAACGATCACATTTTTCATTTTAATGAGGTAAAAAAGTGGCTTAAACAAGAGCTTAATATCTTTACAATCATTTTTACATTATTATTTGCATTCAAGTGGATCTAAATCTAAATTATGTTCAAATAGAAAGGTCAAAAAAAATTAAGTGCAAGTATTAGTAATTTTTTTTCTCTTGAATAATGTTATTTAGTATCACTTCTATTTGAAAACATGGAGGTTATATGACACAATATGAAATATTGATTGTACAAGTAAGAACATGATTTAAGCAACAAGAGAGATTGACAGAGGAATCCAATAATTTTACTAATTGACAACCAATGAAGAGAAGAATACAATTTCAGCAATGAGTTGAATCAAGTATGAACGTAGGCAATTTGGCACCTCCGAATTTATCATTTTTTCTATTATTATTGTTATAACTACCGCTTAGACTTCTCTTTCTATTTTTATATTTATACATAGTTTCTATCTAGCTTCCATTTTCTAATTTTTTTTATCTCATATTTATTCATATATTTCATGAAAAATATAATTTTATCAAAATTTTAATCATATATTTCATTAAAATTTTACCAAAATTTACTAAAAAAATTGATCTTTTAAATAAACCAAACATGCATATAATATAATTAAGGATTTTACTGTTTGTACATTTAGGATTGATATCTCGAATGACAACTCACTTAGAAGGGGGTGCATGATAAGATAATCGGAGGTTTCTCTCTTGTGTAGCGTCAATCTTGAATGTACACAGCAAAACTTATAATTAATGAATTTGTATGTGGAAGTTCGAAGAAAGTCAGAGTTTAAACAGATTAGCTTGTGTCTGGTAGGAATTTTAAAATTGTTGATTGGGCATACTTTTCTTATGGTGACGTGTGATTTGGGTCTCTCTAGAATGAGACAATCGCGTTTGAACGCGATTCCTGCTTTTTGACTGTATCTATATTCGTCTTTTTATTTCAAATTTGGCAAGCTGATTTACGCACGTTCTACCCATTATGAAGAATTTATGTGTTTGTTTAGTGGGGTTTAGATAATTGATTTTTTGATCATTAGAGATAAAGTGAGTCTTATTTATAAGAGAATAATTCAAAAATGACGATTAAAATAGTGAAATAACAATAAAAAAAATTAATTTTAATTGGCTTAAAATCTGTATCAAACAAGCCATATATATAGTGTAATTTATAAATTCATTGAAAAGAATGATTGTGTGATACCAATATTAGTTGAAAATGAAGTTT